CTAGATGGAGCCATTCGAATTTTTGAGACCAATTATGGCGAAGATGGCGATGTCAGTCGTGATACGCTTGTGCTTTCGGCGATGATGTTGGTGTTGACAGAGCAGGAGGTGAGAAAGATGAGAGGTAACAACAAGCCGTCCTATGTGAGGCCTCCAGAGCACGGGGGTTGAAATTGAGGAATACAGATGAGGAGGATTTATTTTGCTGACTTCCTCTGAGCGATCATTGAGGAGAGTGGTTGGAAAAATTGATTTCAAAAGAAACGGAGCATGAACTTTCGACAGGGAAGCCGGCTTTTCTAGTTTAAAGCAGCTGGATTACATGGTAAGCAGTATCAAGAGACGCTGATGTTTAACTCCGGTGGTGTTTTTCAGTTTCAACCTGTACGAGAGGTCTTCCAACGAAGTTCGCTGTCATCAAATTGTGATCTCTATCTCCGGAGGGTCAAAATGAATCTTGAGGGCCACTTAAAAGGCGATATTAAATCCTAGTCATGACCTTAATTGAAGCGTCCTTTTAACGGACCCAAATTGACGATTTTGGAAGAATATTTTATAGAAAAGTGATTCAATGAATTATTTGCAACGAAATGGGTGTCAAAACTTGTCCCATCACCCTCAAAGCTCTCCAGTCGTTTTCTGGGTTCCAATTAACCAGGTATATATAAAGTCTTTTGAAAAACGCCAAATATTGCAATTTTGAGGTCCAGAAGAAGCCACACTTTTACCCTATATATACGACCCGGCATTTGGTTTACCCACGAAATCCTCTCGGTGGCCAAGCTGGCTAAGGCGCGAGACTGTAATGTGATTGTAATCTTGAGATCGGGTGTTCGACTCACCCCCGGGAGATTTTGTTAGCCTTTATGGCCAAGTTGGTAAGGCACCTCACTAGTAATGAGGAGATCGTCAGTTCGAATCTGGCTGAAGGCATCATTTTTGCTCCATTCTACTATTTTTGCTACTCTGGATCAAACCGGAAACATTTTCATTAATTATATCAAACCATCAGCCTGAGGCAGCCTTCACAGCGAGCAACTCCACCTCCTCACGCATGGTGAAGGTCAAAAGCTCGTCTCTCTCGTTAGAGTCAAGGAACTCGTGTGAAACAACAAAGACGTCACCTGCCAAGGCGGAGTCATGCTTGACTTCACCTGAAATCTCGTCAAAGTCTCTGAAGTACGAAACGGAAAGCTTCACATCGGGTCCGCTCGATTTAATGTACTCGTCAAACTGCTCCTCTAAGTCTCTTGTTCCTCCCATGCTGGAATTCACGTAAATGTGCACGTTCTTGTGTACCTTGGCCAATTGGGCCACCAAGTAAAGACTGAGCAAGTCGGTGGAACTCAACAAATTATCGTGGTCTAAAATCATTCTCACGGTGGACTGGCGGTCGGTTCTTGTAGGCTCGGTTGTAAGCAAAATGGCCATATGACACTCGCAATTATCGTAGAGGTAGCGGTAGGACATATCGAAGTCATTCTCCTCCTCCGTCAACTCAAGAACACTCTTGACCGTGTAGGAAGTAAGAAGCAAGTTAGCAGGGCCCGTGATGTGGTCACTGATCGCAGCAGCGTAGTTTCTCTGAGGCGCCAAGATGGACTTTGACGAGAAGTGCACATCCAACATGGAGCTAAAGGCCTTGACAATGGCAAGGATGGAGTGGGAATTCGTCAAATCCGTAGGAGACGTTTCGGCAACCTCGGGAGCAGCACTGGAAGCCTCAAGCAAATGGGACGTTCTAGAAGTGAAAGCACGCAAGTGAATGGCCTTGACGCCGTAGTCGAAATCGTCAAAGGTCAAGTCCTTCAAAAGAGCAAGCACGTGTGGCAAGGTGTCGATCTTCCTGAGAAGAAGAAGGATGTCGGAGATCTTGAAACGGCCCAAGTTGCTCATGGACAAGTCGGAAAGAGAACCCAACAACTCGCCCTCGGAATCGACATCCTTCTTGAGTGCACCTCTGTGGCGGGCCACCAGCTCTCTGTAGCTCACGGGGTACGAGAGCAAGGTCAATGGGGTGGTCAAAAATGTCGTCACAAGGGTCATGACAATGAACATGGAGTAGACTCTTCTCGAGATGATGTTGGCGTTCAAACCGACATTCAACACGACGATCTCCACAATACCCTTACACGACATCAAAACTCCGACAGTGAGGGATTCTCTCCAGAAAAGGCCGTTGAGCTTGGCTGCAAGAAGACCACCAGAGACCTTACCAATCATGGCCAAGGCAATCACACCAATGCAGTAGGCCCAGTCGATGCCTCTGTCCAAATCGCCCAAATTGACGTTCAAACCAGCCAACGCAAAGTAAATCGGAATCATCACAATGTGCACCATATCCTCTAGCTTCTCTGTGATCTTGATCACATAGCCGTTATCTCGGGGCACCAAAACACCGACCATGAAGGCGCCGAAAATAGGATGCACGCCAATGGCGTCCGTGTAAAATGAAGAAGTGAACACCATGGCAATAAGAATCACCATCAGCAACTGAGAAGGCTCGCCTGTAGCCAACTCGTTGGTGAATCTTCTGAGGTACCATCTGAGGGCCAATCTGACCGGGTAGGCCAAAAAGATGAACCATGCTAGCGTCAAAAGCAAGATGTAGAGCGTGTTGATGCCGTTGTCGGCGTTACTCAACGTGACGACCAAGGCAAGCAAGATCCAGCCCGTCAAGTCGTTCATGATACCGGCAGCCAAAACGATAGTACCCACCCTGTCTCCGATCAAGTTCAACTCGACGAGAATACGGGCCAACACGGGGAAAGCCGTGATACACAAGGCCACCGCCACGAAAACCATGTATGTGGTGAATTGAATACTCTCCATGCCTGGATCGTCTCTGTACTCGTTATACAAGCCCACGGCGATGGCACAACCGAGACCAAAGGGAATGGCCATGTTGATGAGCCCGACAGACACAGCCACCTTGAAGTTCTTCTTGATGTAGTGAAGATCAACCTCCAAGCCGACAATGAACAAGAACAAGATGATACCCACGTTGGCGATCAAGGTCATGCCCGGGATCAGCTCGTCGGGGAAACAGGTATCGGAGAAGTTGGGGATTCTGCCCAAAACAGTCGGACCGAGCAAAATTCCCGCCACCACCTCAGCGATAACCTTGGGTTGTTGTAACTTTCTCATGGGCCAGTGAAGAAGCTGGCAAAGAAACAAAATGAACACCGCCTGGAAAAGAAAAAGCGTGTAGGGCGACAGCGGCACGTATTCCAAGGGGTTACGGCCCAGCACGATGCCGGCAACCGACGATGTGGACACCATGTGGGAGAAGTTGATAAGGAAAAGTGGTTGTTAATAACCTGTATTTGCCAAGCCGAAAATGCGGAGACCCAGGCTTATATATAGCGAGAAGAGGACAGGATGGTTTTCACGGGGAATGACCAGCCGTGGACAAGATTTATGAAGGAGCTGTTTGAATAAATTGTTTTTGGTTGTGCTTGGGTTGTGGTTGGTGGGCTGTAGAGGTGAGTGGTGTAATGTGAGATGGACCTTGAGATGGTGCGTTAGTGACACAAAGCCGGTGTGCAGAGGAGGGACCCATGCACCGATCCGGTCGCCAGTCTCTACAACTATTTGGAAAGCAATACTTAAAGCACAAAAGCATAAAAGCACGAATTTCAAAGAGTTAGGTCGTCGTCGTTTAGTGTGCCTGGTGGCTGCAAATGCCAGGTGGGCTCATGCTGATCCTCCCCTCTTCGCGTGCATGTCGTCATAGCGTGTTTTGATAGGCTTGGGTGCCTCCATGATTGGCTGTATTAAGCTTTGGTCGTTTTGGGAAAGACCCAGACACGGCGATCTCCCCGTGGGTTTCACCTTTTAGTTTCATCTTTGTAGTTTCACCTTTGTAGTTTCATTTTTGTAGATTCATCTTTAATGTTTCATCTTTAATGTTTCATCTTTGGAGTTCCATTCACTTGGCCATTTGACACGGCTGAATCGCGGGAATGGCTTGCATTCTCGACTCCTGCGATTGTGTGTTTGACTTTGCCTTGGCTAGTGACCCGTAGCGGGGGCAGCGAAAGGCACTTTCTGGTTTTTTTGGAAAGTTGGGTTTTGTGCTTCTTTTTCATTTCTTGTCGTGTGTTTATATTATTAGGCTGGCCGTGGCACCCCTCCAATCGCCTTATCAGTGGTATCTTATCAGGTGGCTGCGAATCATGCGCAGCTCTAAAAATACGACACATTACGAGGTGAGCCAGTGGGTAAACATAATACGAAATTCACCAAGAAAAAGAAAGACTCGATTTTGAGAATACGTCATAGGGGCTTAGGGGGTAATGGGTATGGTGTTTGAATGTATAGGTGAATGTATAGGTGAATGGGTAGGGTGAATGAGTAGGGTGATTAAGGGTCCTCCAGGAGGACAGGTTCGGGTAGGTACTTGGACATTTACACCACAGTTGACATGGAGATGAGGTTCATTCTGACAATTGAGAAAAAACGGCATGGGAATACGGATGGAAGAAGAATCGGCATGGAAGTGGATATTGAGGAGTCTCAATTGAGAGGTGATGTTAGCACTACTCAAGATTGATATACTTTCAACGCGAACTCCACGAAGAGGTCCAACTATATTTTGTCAATATCGCCTTTTAGGGCTTTTCATCATATAAACGCTACGATGAAAGCTTTCCTAAATTAAACTTTAGTCCCGGATGTTGAGGAACTCGATCTCAACATCACCACCTACCATGCACAACCACCCCACCTCTTGACCAAAACCCAAAGCTCTTAAAACCCATTACTAAGCTACATTAACCACAAATACACAATCGAATGCACCAAAATCCCCCCAGAACTACCGTTCCATTGCCACACCTTCTAGAAGGTTCTGCATGTTTCTGCGGCCTTCTGCATGACACCCGCAGCTCCAGAAGCTTCCATGCCAGAATGGCTGCAAACTTCGAGAAGCTTCTCCATAATCACCACAAACTATATAAGAACCGGCTCTTGCCACCGATCTCGAAAATCATCATCCAATGTTTACCGTCTCCAGATCCCCACTTTACGACTTCAACACCTTGTTCCATACTTTGGACTCGGTCAATCAGTACCAGCAGCAGCAGCTTTTGCAGCAGCAGTATGAGGCTCTGAGACCCAAGATAGTCAAGAAGGTGGAAACCGAAGACAAGTACCAGATCCAGATTTTCAAGAAGCAGGGCAACTTCAACCTGTACGAGGTGAAGGTTTTGAGAAACGCCGCCTACAGCAGCAGCTTGATCAACCTTGTCATTGAATCCAGAAGAGACGACTTCCGCAGAGTGTTCCAGTTCAACTTGAACGACATTGAAGTTGGCGATATCGACTGGGAGTACTTCCAGGACGACAATGTCTTGGTGTTAAACGTGCCCAAGAAGGTGAAGTACTGTGCTGACGACTATGTGAACACTTTACTTGCCAGTATGCTTGGAGCTCAGGCTTGTGCACCATGTCATGAAAGAAAGCATAAGCACAGAAGCCACAGAAAGCTGAAGAGTGAAAGAGCCGAGGCTGCCGCTAGAGCTGAGGCCGAAAAGGCCGAAAAGGCAAGAATTGAGGCTGCTCAGGCCGAAGCTGCCAGAATGGAGGCTGCTAGAATTGAGGCTGCTAGGATTGAAGCCGCTAGAATTGAAGCTGCGAAGGCGGAGGCCGCCAGAAAGGCCGAGGCTCAAAGAAAGGCCAGAGCCGAAGAGGCTAGACGTCTTGAGAAGGCCAGAAAGGAGGAGGAAAAGGCTCAGAAGGTTGCTCAGGAGAAAGCCAGAAGATTAGCTGAGGTCCGTGCAAGAAAGGAACAGGCCAAGAAGGAAAAGGCGAGATCTGCTGAGGAGGAGGCCAGAAAGGAGCAGTTGCAGAAGCAGCAGGAGTTCCTCCAGTCTCTCTTTGGTGGTTTCTTCCCTGGTGCTGTTTTCCCTGAACCTCAAGCTGCCACCCAGGTTCCAGTCCAGAAGACCCCTCAAAAGCAGGCCAAGCAGACTGTTTACGAATCTGAGGTGCCAAGTGAGCCACTCACCGATAGCGAGCCGGAATCCGAAACAGAGTCGATTCACTCGGACGTTTCTACTGATTCAAGGTCCTCGTTGAAGAGAAGTGGAGAGGATCTTTCGAGTGGAGTCGATAAGCTTCATAGACACCCATCCTTGGAAGAGGTCGAGGATGAAGAGTTCGTCATGTTCAGGAAGAAGTTTGGCGAGCAGTAAATGCCGTTTTGACAATGGCATTCGCATAATGGCATTTTGATAATCGCATAATGAGATAATAGCATAGACAATGCATGAAGCTAATAATAAGAATTGTAGGAATTGTAGTTAAGCTTTTGTTTGGGAGCTGGAAGTGAAGAAAGTTGGTGGAGAAGAGGAATTGTTCAATAAAATAGCGTCAACCTTGTTGACGTTGACGTATTGTAGCATACAAACGTCAAGTGCAATGGCTGGAAAATACCAAAAAGTCATTGGAATATGTAATTGATTCATTGTTCAGCTCAAAATTAATTGAAAGCGATAATTTTCCGATATCCCTAGTACAATTTATTATACTCTAATAGAGAGAAATCAGTCAAAAACTAGTACGTTCATAGTGTTAGCCTGCTCGGCTTAGCAACTTGCTTATCGATTTGATCTACATGAAATTTCAAGGGAACAAGTCAACGTTTGACCCACTTCGCCTATTCACTTAAATGCCCAATCACAAGAAAATTTTCAAACTTTAACTACTGCCTGTCAAGAGCCGCACACACACGTCAACAATATTATCAACCTTCACTATGAGGCTCACCACCGCAAGGGTGCATTGATTATGCAGCAACCTCGCTTAAGCACACATTCGTATACCAGTGCCATTCCGTTGCTTTTTCATAATTATCAAAGCAAAATCCCTTTGCTATTCTAAAAACCTCTGCATCCTACTTCCACGGCTTGGTCAATGGCCCTGGAACCCTCCGAGACCGGTCTTCTGCAGTCTTTTCTAAATCAACAACTACACTTTCTACATCAACAACCACATTCATCATGACAGAAGCAAAACCAGCTGAAACTCGTCCGGAAGCTACACAGCCAGTCGAAAACCATGACGTCAATCTCACTGCCATTCTTTCCCTAAGCACAGTTGCATCGCTAGTACGTCTTTTTCAGCCTTTCATGTCAGAATTGCAGAGCTCGCAAAATACCTTTCGTCTTGTGAGTTTCGCCTGGTGGACTCTGCTTTTTTGCTGCGCTGGATACCTTTTGGGTAAATCAAACGGCACTGTTTCTGTTTGCAAGGCTGGTTCTTTCTTGGTCGCCCTTGCGTCCATATATGAATCACTCGAAGCGCCATACGCCCACCTTGTCAGCCCTGTTTTGATCCAGATGGGAACATCTCTCTCGTTTGCGACGTCATTCCACAGCTTTCTGTTATTCAAGCCCAGAAGGTTTGGCGAATTGTATGCTGCTGGTTTGATAGTGGCAGGTTTGCTTTTGAGCTTTGGTGCAGCACGGTACGCCGACGAGCCTTGGGTGATCTCTCTTCTGGGCACCTGTTTTGCCATTTGTGCCATTGCAGTGCCCAAGGTTGTTCCAAACGCTGGTCAGGAGGTGACTGTCAGTAAGAAGGAGGATTAGCTGAGTGGAGACATTCCTGAAAGGCCGGCAATGGATGGTTTAAATAGATGTTGTGCTGATTATAGAATGAGAGTAATTCTAGAGTGGCTATTTGATGAACTTAGGTGGATTCTTAGTACAAATAAAGAACGGATGTGTCCACTTATCCTTACCTCGATGGGTTAGACGCAGTCTGTTCTCTTTTTACATATTAGAGTCCTGACGTCTGTTTCTCATTCTGTTTCTTGAATGACTGAAGTAAAATAAATCTCCATGTAATAAAAATCCTCCATCAATAGCACATTTTGTAGTAGTTCCTCAGCAGTGCATTCCTCGACAGCTCCAGACGTGCATTAAACCGTGCGTTCACAATAGCACCACACACATAAGCCGAGTCTTCTAAGCCGATGTCAGTAACGACATTATGCTTCATTTCAAGCAAATCCAAATAACACCACCACACAAAAACACATATTATCAAAATCTGCTCCCACTTCTGTCCCGCTCTAGTGCTGGCCTCGTAATTCCATCCTTCTGCAGTACTTTCGTAAATTCATCCCGTTCTTCTTGAAGTCCATGGAGAAGACAGCAGAGGAGCCTTTAAATGTGCCTCCTTCGAGGAAAGCCTTGGGTGTTTCTGATAACCACAAACTATGGATTGTCGTTCTTCTCCTAATATGCAATGTGCTATCTGAGGTGGCTCTTCTCCAGCCCTACCTTATAGAGCTCCAGAAACCAGGAGAATTATCAAACTCGAATTCTCTCTTTTTGTGGTTTTTGCTCTACGGCATGTGTGGCTGTTGTTTGGGAAATCAATACGGCTTTCTGGTCATTACCAGTGTGGGGTTAGTGCTATCGGCATTTTGGGCTGTTTCTGAGGGCCTTGAAAAGTCCAATTGTGACTTGCTCTTGAAGCCAAGTCTACGTACTGTAGGAGCCTCATTTGTGTTTTCCAACTGCAAGTTTGCCTACGACATCTTCAAGTCCAAATCTGCTGGAGGCTATCTATATGGCGGTTCGTACCTTTTCGGTCTAGTACTAGCCATTGGTGCTACAAAAGTCGAGGAAGTTCCCTGGATCTACATTCTTTTCAGCACCTTCTGTTTTGCTGCTTCAATTGCCGTGTTTTTCACCGTTCCCAACCACAGACTCCTGCTGAAACCGCCTTCGGTGGTGAAAAAGTCGCTTGGAGTTTTGGTGTTGGTGTTATTGCAGCTATTTTGGGAGTATTTCTCGTTGGATGAGCAGGATGTCGTTTATTTTGCCAGAGGAATTGGTACAGCTGCTGCCGCCCTTGGGTGTGTTTGGTGGGTGGCTCAATAGGTAAAGTTACCATGTCTGTAGCAGAGCTGGAAAGACAATAAAAAAAACTGTGCAACAACTATGAAGAGCTTTGAAACTACAAACCATGATCTCTTTGGTAATTATCGTCAATGGACTCTGTCTCAATGTAGCAGTAAGAGATGGCCACTCGTGAACGATAAGCCCAATCGTGTGACATTCAGCCCAATTCAAAAACCGTCATACAACAAATACTTACAAACACTCAGAAATAATCACAAATAATGAATAATTTAATCAATCAAAAGCCATCTGCTTTCTGTATCTTTTCAAAGAACCAGCCTCCACTTCTTACTGCCCACCTTATCACCGCACTCACTGTACAGCAGCAATACAGACGAATCACAAAAGGAAACGTCATCCGGACCAGCCACTCACCTATGAATTCTTGCTTTTTTAGAAATCCCCAAAAACCACCTAAATCCAGAGATTTCCCAAATTTTCACCACCCAAAGTCCACTTCACGATTTTTCACAAGGCCCTCACCGCACCTACATTTCTCATCCGATACCCTCACCACAGAATATCACCAATATCGCACCACTACTACTACTTCACCACTTCTGGATCTCCATCTACCACACGCAATTGACGGCTACAGTTCACCAAAAAACACCGTTTTCGTGAATTCAAAAACCTTTTCCCATCAACAACATAATAATTACACTTTCTTCATGTCCAGATCAATAGCTGTGTTTGGAGGCAACGGGTTCCTCGGACGCAAGATCTGTGAAGTGGGCGTCCGCTTGGGCTGGTCGGTCACGTCGCTTTCCCGCCTGGGCAAAGCTCCAAAGCCGGTTTCCCACTCGGACCACCTGTGGATCTCCAACGTCAATTGGGTCTCAGCTGACCTCTTCAACGCTGATTCATACAAACAGCATGTGGCGGGAAAGAACGCCGTGGTGCATTCCGTGGGCATGCTTTTCGAGAACTCGGACTATAAACAGGCGATCAACTCGAACTTCAGCTTCTTGAACGACGTCCTGAGGCTTGCGGGCATGTTGAAGGGCCCTAACCCGCTTACTAGAAACCACAACCAGACCTACGAGGCGGTCCAAAGAGACACTGCCGTGATGTTGGCAGACGCGTACTTGGAGAGCCTGAAGGAGGTCAAGGACCCTTCGTACGTGTACATTTCTGCCGAGATGAAACCGCCAATTGTGCCTGAGGGCTACTTGACCACTAAGCGCGAGGCCGAGTTTGAGCTTTCGTGCAAGCCAGGCCTCCGTTCCATCTTCCTTCGTCCGGGCGTCATGTACGACGAAAGCGCCCCGCTTCAGGAGAAAAGAAAGCTTTTCGGCAAGTTCTTGGGCTTGGGATACACCCTCAAGGAAGGCATCTTGGGAGACAAGATCCCCATCTTCAACGAGCTCATACGGCCCCCAGTGTCCACAGAAAAAGTGGCACTCACACTCTACAAGAAACTCGAGGACCCAGAGGCCCAGGGCGTGGTGGGACTTGACGAAATAGTCAATTTCTAATGACGAGAGGAATCTCTAAATAATATATAAGGAAGCAGTGTCTCTTCGTCCGGCGGGGGCAGCGGCTATATTAGACTGCAAAGGTGTAGCCGTTGATCATCTGGTTTCTTCTTCTCAACAAGTATTTTCTGATCTCGTCGCCAATGAAGACGGTGCTGGTGAGAAGGACCAAGTGGACCAAGTCCGTGAAGGTCAAAGCTTCGGTCTGGAACACCGCCTGGAAGAAAGGAACGTAGATGGCACACATTTGGCCCAAAAGCGAACCAAGAACAGAAAGGTTGAACATGTTGTTGGTGAAACCGAGCTCAAAGACCAGTCTCGTGTAGTGGCGGCACGCCAACGCATTGAACATGTCGTACAACACGAAACACGTAAACGTCATGGTGGTGTCTCTGGCAGTGACCTGCCCGTCTTGCATCTCCTTGATGAAAATATACATGGTACCGATGATGATCATGGTAGCGCTTTGTAACACCCGCTTGATCACCTGCTGGGTCAAGATTTTTTCGTTTCTCTTTCTGGGTGGCTTGTTCATGATTTCAGGGTCCACGGGCTCCACACCCAACGACTGGGCTGGAGGTCCGTCCATCAAGATATTGATCCACAAGATCTGCATGGCGTTCAACGGGTTGGGCAAGCCAAAGAAGGTGGCCAAGGCAATAAGCGTCAAGGCGGCAATGGAGGTGGAGAGCTGGAAGGTGATGAAATTTTGGATGTTGTAGAAAATGCCCTTGCCTTCTTCGATGGCGCTCAAGATGGTGGAGAAGTCGTCGTCCGTAAGCACCATGTCGGCGGCTTCCTTGGCGACATCAGTACCATTTCTACCCATGGCAATACCAATGTCAGCAAGTTTCAAAGCTGGAGCGTCGTTGACACCGTCACCGGTCATGGCCACAACGTCACCGCGTCTTTGCAACGCCTTGACAATGGTGACCTTATGCTCGGGGGTGGTTCTGGCGAAAACAGACACATTGTGGATGGCGTTACTCAAACTCTCCTCGGACAATCTGTCCAACTGGTCACCAGTCAAAACAGAGTCCTTGCCGGAGACGGGGATACCGATTTGTCTGGCGATGTTGGTGGCAGTGGAAGGAGAGTCACCTGTAATCATAATGACGTGAACACCACCTTTCATCAACTGGCTGATGGACTTGGCCACGTTGGGTCTAGGAGGGTCTTTCATGCCCACCAAGCCGCAGAAGGTCATGTCGGAGGTGATGGTGTGCTCTTTTTCAACGTCCAACTTGGAGTTGTTTCTGGCAAAGGCCAAGACTCGAAGACCCTCGGAGGACAAGGCCAGGGCTCTTTCGTGGATTTTGTCCTTCAAGGCGTCGGTCAAAGGCTTGACGTTGCCCTGCTCGTCATAGTACTTGTCCAGGTGTTTGAGAATGGCCTCGTTGGCGCCCTTGACAAACGTCTCAGAACGAGAACTGTCGCCGCCATGGGCAGACACAGCCATGTACTTTCTATCGGAGGAAAAAGGAAGCTCGCTGTCACGCTCCTTGGTGCCACGGAGGTCGTCTAGGCCAAAGTGGGGCAAGGCTTCAAGCAAGGCAATATCGGATGGGTTGCCCACGTAGGCCTCGTTGTCGTTGGAGTAGCGGGCATTGTTGCAGATGTTGCCGACCTCAAGGACTTTTCTGATGTTGGGGGTCAATTTGTCGTGGAGGGTCTTGTCGTCCAATTTTTCCACAATCAAGTAGGGGCTGTTGAAGGAGCCCTGGAAGTCAAAAGCCCAGATTTTGGTGACGGTCATGTGGTTCTGGGTCAAGGTGCCTGTTTTGTCGGAGCAGATGACGTTGACGGAGCCCAAGGTCTCGACGGAGGGCAAGCGGCGCACGATGGCCTTTCTCTTGGCCATTCTGAGCACCCCAAGCGCCAAAGTGACGGTGACGATGATGGGCAAGCCCTCTGGAATGGCCGCCACGGCCAACGACACAGAGATCTGGAACATGTCCAACCACTCGCGGCCCTGGATGATTCCAAGCAAGCAAATCGTACCAATGACGGCGAAACTGAACACGGAGAGGTCCTTGCCGAGTCTGTCCATGGCCTGCTGCAACGGGGTCTTGGGTTTCTCGATCTCCGACATCATCTCGAACACGGCGCCAAACTCCGTCTGCGAGCCCGTGGCCACGACAATGCCCGACCCGTGGCCGTCTCTGACCAAGGTGCCCATGAACGCAATCGAGGAGCGCTCGGTCACCGGGAGGTCTTTCGTGACATCACCCGTGTGATCCAGCGGCGAGATCGAGTGAAGCGTCTTCTTCACGGGGCTCGTTTCGCCCGTCAAGTTGCTCTCGTCAATAGCCAAGTGCACAGCGTCCGTCAAGCGCACGTCAGCTGGAATCCGGTCGCCCTGGGTAAAGTGCACCAAATCGCCCGGCACCAAGTGGGACGCCAACACCGTCAGCGTGTTTCCGTTACGTGTCAACTTTGCCTCGGCGGGAACCAAACGATTAAGCGCCTCAAGCGACTTCTCCAGCCGGTACTCTTGAACAAAACCCACCGTGACCACGATGGTGATGGCGAGCGAAATGGAGACGGCGTCGTCGACGTTGCCCATCCAAAACGAGATCACCGCCAGGCCGATCAAAAGCAAAATCAACGGGTCGTTGAACGCCTGCAAAAACTTCCACGCCACCAGCTCCTTCTCGCCCTGTTGGAGCTCGTTGTCTCCGTGAACCAGGCGCCTTACGAGGATGTCCTGGGTGCTGTGGAGGCCCAGCCGGGCGTCGGTGGCGAACTGGTTCAACACTTCGGCCACGTCGGTCTGCGCCCATCGCGCCAGCGGCGTCGTTCGCCCTTGTGGTTTTTCCATTAGGTGTTGATGGTGAGAAAGATAATGAAATATCTGTACTGCCTGGTAGGCGGCGGTGCGACATCGATGGGGGAGCGGTGTTGGGGTGTTTTGGCGGTGGTGTAGGGGTGTTTTGGGGTTTTTGACGGGTGTTTTGGAATCGGGCCGGCGAGGCGGTTACGAATACGGGGTTGGTTTTTGGTTTACTTGTACAGGGGCGTAGATTACTGGGGGTTGTGCTGGTTAGCTGGGTAGGGTTGTTCGCACCGCGCAGGCAGGACGCCTGAGGTGCAGCGGCACTGGGGGGAGACTGGGGAGAATTGGGAATTTGGGGATTTTGAAAAATGCGCTGGAAAGGTGTGGACTAGAGGATTCCAGATCACTAATTGGATTGAAGAAATTCGGGCTGCTTCCCGTTTTATGGGGGGCCTTGTCCCTGGGCGTGCACTTGGCATACCGGTCCTGCGTGAGGTGCCAGAGGCCAAAACACGCTACAGTGTGAATTTGAAGATTTCAAAACCACCAGTGTGTTCGTCGCAGCTCGAGGATTCCAAAAATGCCATCGGATTCGCCGTACATCCAACGTCCGCCGACCTACACCGCCTTACGTCGGTGTGGCCCTGCCTGCGCGCGGGCTTCTCTGCGCAGCGGACTCCAGGGCACCATTTCTTGCAGCTTCACAGGCCCACTGTCCAAGCCCA